CGTTGGGCTGGGAGGGTGGGCAGCCGCGGTCCAGGCCGCAGTGGCTGATCACGGCAGAGGTGAGGATCCGTGCGGTGCCGGCTGCGAGACCTGCCTGCCTTGGGGACGGGATAAGTAACCCGGCTTGGGAACAGCTGTGCCGGGCGATGCCAGGCCTCAGCCGTGTGTGACCCTGGTGTCTCCTCTGTCTCCCGTTACATCTGCACAGGGAAGGTTTGGTCCCACTGCGGGAGGTCTGCTGGGCTCGGGGCAGCGCGGAGGAGGTCAGTACCAGCTCCCTGCCGCAGCAGTGGGTTGAGGTGAAGGTAGGCTTCAGGCCAGCGTTGCCTGCTGGGTTTGAGCCCCTGCCTCCAGGGGTGGTTTCCAGTCTGGACTCAGCCGGTTCCAGCCAAGAAACTGCATGCTCCTCGGATTTAGGAGGTCTAACAATTCTTCCTGCAGCCAGAGCTTTGCTCGAGCAAGGATTTGGGAGTGACCTGGTAGACCCAAGCCAGGCTGATCTTTGAGCCCAGCAGAGAGCTGAGAGTTTACGAGGTGGCCTCCCTGGTGACACTGGACACGTGCTCAGGCCGCAGCAAGTTATAGGCTCTGTTTCTGTCTTCCCTGAAACTTTTGTGATCGTGCTGCCCCGAACCCAAAAATTTCAACTTGGGAATAACGCCACCGGATCATGGGTCGGTGTTGTTTGTGGTTGGAACTGTGACGGGATCTCATCGTCTTCGAGCCTCCAACTTTCATTCCTGATTAATGAAAACCTTCTTGGCAAATGCTTTTGCTTTAGTTCATCTTGCGCTGGTTCAAGAATTTCACCCCAAGCAGCACAATACGAATGCGTACGGCTGTCTCTCTTAATCCTGGCCCCATTTCTAAAAACCAACAAAACAGAACCGGAGTCCTATTCTGTCTCTCTGCTGTTGGAGCTGGAGTTACCACGGCTGCTGGCACCAGCCTTTCCCTCTGATGAATCCTTGTGAAAGGATTTAAAGCCTGCTCATTCCAATTACAAGGCCTCGAATATCCCGTATTGTTATTTTTTGTCACTTCTTCTCTGGTTTGAGAGTGGGTAATTTGTGGGCCTGCTGTCTTCCTCGGATGTGGTAGCTGTTTCTGAGGTCCCTTTTTGGGACCGAACACTGATTTCCCGTTACTCACAGTCACCGTGGATGTAGTACCACCCGCAGCGAGTACCAGATCATGGCGAGTCTGTGCCTCATCCCACTGGTTGGGACTCAAAGTGAGCAGGAGCTGCGCCGAAGCTAAGGCTGCCTCTCTGGGTGACTCTGGTCCCCTCCGCGGCATGTCACAGCCCTGATGGCTGTTGTGTGGGAACCTCTAGGGTTGTTTTGGGGAGGTTCAGGGCTTGGAGTTACCTCGACAGCTCCCTCCAGCTCCCCAAATCCATCCCTAGGGACTGTGTGGTTTGGGTCAGGTTGTTTCTGGAAGGTGGGCTGAATTCCTTGGCCTCAGGAAGGTTCACCTCTGGCACTGGATGAGCTTCATGAGGAAATACCAGGACTGGGTTCGAGCAAAGCAAAAGGTGAAGGAGGCAAAAAATCAACCAGCAGCGCTTCTGATCGTCGTAAGCGTGGCTCTTGGCAGTTTGCTTCTCCCTCAGCTACCACAGATGCATCCTAACTGCCAGCCCTGGGAAGAAAGCTCCTACAGCGATATCTGGCACTTCTCTGCAGTTCGCAGGCCTATACCCTTCCTTCTCCTTCCCTCGGCACGAGCCTGGCGTGAAGGTTTGACCAGGGATGTCCCCATGGGGTGGCTGGAGCTCCCAGACTCCGTTTCAACATCAGGATGTTGCTTCACCCCTCTGCGGCTCCTGCAGGAGGTCTGGGAGCACCTGGGGCTTCGCCTGGAGCCAGATGATCCTCAGCACTGACGCTTTTTGGGACGTGGCTGTCCCGTCGTGCCTTGCCACCCGCAGGCAGCATGGATACACCTGCTGCCCCTGTTTCTCGTGCGTGCCACGTCAGGGAAGGATGACAGTGAGTTGGTTGGACAGTGGATTTGGGAAAGCTCCTGGGGTTTCCCTAGAGATGACCCACGCTGTGTTAAATAGGTGGCAGGCGCGGGTCTCTGGGAAGCAGCTCTGCCCAGAGCACCGTTGGTAATGTGGGGACCATTGTATCCAAACAATCCTGGCCAAGGAGGGCCAAGGCTCTAGAGGACCCTGCTTGAGCAGGGAGGTTGGACTAGATGATCTCCAGAGGTCCCATCCAACCTAAACGATTCTGTGATTCTGTGAAGGCTTGGCAACGGGGCCCTGGAGGAGAAGGTGCCTCTGCCCCACGGTGACCACGAGCTCCATCCGCTCCTCTCTCACCTGCCCAGTGGGATGAGCAGGGTCTGTTTCCTCTCCTCCTCGCCCCTCGCTTCGGTAGCGATAGCCCGAGCCGGGTTGGCATTGCGCCCTTTGGTCCGGAGGCTCGAGTTCAGGCTCCGCACCTCATGGCGTGTTTGCTCGGCCCCAGGCCGCTCCCCGGCTAGCTCAGCCTTGACTGCTCGGCCCAGGCAATTGCAGCATGGTGGTGGGGAGTAACTGATCCCTGACTCATCGGGGCTGGTCCCTAGCAGGCTCAAAACCTGATCCTATCGCCTCTTCTCTCCTCTCGCCGCTGGCTGAGCGTGTGCAAACACACGCACCGCGAAAGTGGGCACTGCCCTCGGAGAGGAGCGCAGAGGCACCAGGGTCTCGGTGCGGTCGGGAAAGTCTAATTTCGCCAAGATGAGCCGGGGTGGGCGCAGGAAGCGTTTGGTTTACGCCACCGCCTGTGCAGCCAAACACTCTTAGAGGCTTTTCCACACTTTGTTGGCATCGTTTCCGCAGCCTTTTTGTCGCCGCATTGTCTGAATCGCGTGAGCTTGGCTGCCTTGCCTGAAGAAGGAGAAAAAGGAGTGCTGTGCAGGGCCGATCTCTAAAATTAGCTTTTTGCTAGGTGCAAACGTGGTGATGAGGGGCCTGCAGCCACCAGCTCTAAAATTAAATAACCGATAGTGTTGGAGAGGGCAGTGCTTAACTTCATGCTGGCATAAAACACACCTGCCTTAGCTCGAAGGCTTGTAGGATATGGATCTTGACCTTGCTGCTGGCCTGGCAGTGCATGTTGTCGTGGATTAGGGGATTTGGGGGTAGAGGCTCTAGCAGACATCCCATCGCGTGCACTAGGCAGGGAATTCACAGGGTCCGCTCCGTTCCTTGCCGTCTCCAAGAGGTTTAACGCCAGGAGCCTCGGTTTCCTCCCCGCGTACGCATCACTGCTTCTGCCTGGATGTCTGCAAACAGCGTCGTCGCAGAGGGACTTTCCCAGAAGCAGCGACTGCGTCTGGCCGGCTTGGCCCTGCTCCGAAAGAGCCCGTACGCGTCCCGCTTCCAGCACAGCGATCCCGGCCACTTCAGATAATCCTACGTGAGCCTGAAGGGAGGAAACGGCTCGCTGCAGCGGTAGGGTTTGTTTCTCGGGGCTCTGTGTGTGTGCGGCCGTTCCCAAAGGCGGTGCCTGGCGTCTTCTCGCATCTGTGCTGCAGCCGCTGGGCAGGAGCGGCTCTCCAAAAGCCAAGCGCTTTCCAGCCAGCGGCTCTGGGGAAGAGGTGGTTGATTTAAAAAACAAAAAAAAACAAAACAAAACAAAAAAAACCCCATGCGAGCACTCTGGTTCAGTTCTTCCCCTGCCCCATGCCCTTCCCCAGCGCCCTGGGCACAGCTCGGCATACGCTCCAGCCCTCCAGCTGGGGAGCAGGGGGGAATGACAGCCGGCCTGAGCTATTTGCAGCGTTCGTGGCCGTCTCCGCAGGCTTGCTCGGCCTCAACTCACGGGCTCGGCCCTGCGAGGTGCCTCCCGGCTGGGGAGAGGCAGGATCAGCCTTTATCCCAAAGCAAACAGCAGCAGCCATGCGTCGGGGAGCTGGTGCCCACTGGCGACGAAGCAAACGCTGGCGCTGAGAGCTGACGGCTTGGGGTCGAGCTGGCACCCTGATGGACAGCGTGTTTTCGCCCCTGCGAGCGCAGGATGAAGGTGCGGGAATCCAGGACAGGATTGATCCTCCGGAGAGGAAGGGAAAGCGAGGCCGCTGTGCTGTGAGGTCGGTTGTCCCCTGTACCAAGGCCGAGCTCTGCCCCGGAGCCCAGCAGCAGGAGGTGCTGGGGGCAATCAGCCCTTGCTCTGGCCTGGCAGGGATACCCTGTTGGGGCGCACACACCAGTGCTATGTCCACGTGAGTGGCGCAGGGAGAAATGCTGGTGGCGAGAGTGCAGATGTGCTCGGTTTAGGTTGTCAGAAAGAAGATGGGTCATTCCTTGCTAGGTGTGGGGCGCGATCCAGGCAGAGCAGGAGGAAGAGGTGGGGGGAGAGAGGCAGCGCAAGCGCAAGGCTGCTTGGAGCCGAGAGCCTGTCGCGTGTGGAAGGGGTCGCCCAGAAGCGTATTTTGGGGAAAACACTAAGGCAATCGCGCCCCCAAGTCTCCACCTCAGTCCTGGAGGCATCTCTGGCCCATGTAGGACATGGGTGCGCACCAGGCAGAGGAGCTCGCCTTTGAACTACCATCGCTGCCAAGCTTCCTGCCTGCAGAACCGAACGATTTGAGCGCTGCTGAAGAAACCGGGAGGCTTTTCCGAGAGAGAAGCTTCCTTTGACACCCTCACCCTGCGGGCAGCGAGGTCGGGAGCGCGAGAGATGCCAGAGACATCCCTGCCATGGGTGCAGCCGCAGGCAGGAGAAAGGGCTGGGCGCAGAGCAAGGTGTTGGCCTGCGGCAGCTGGGGGCTTGGCCGCCTAGCCCAGCCTTCAGGGCTGTGCCTCCGACCTTTGGGTCCCACTTCCCGGTTTTCTCCGGCTGCTTTTCCGGTTGGGCAAGGGCTGGGGCACGAGCCGGATGGCTCCAGGCTCCTTGGCCCGTGCAGCTCGTGGCTATGTCAAATGCCACGGAGGTACCCCCAGCTATTTTTCCCATCTCCATCAAAGTCGAGGAGGAAATGTCACCCCCCTTTGTGCCTCGATTTCCCCAGGCTAAAGATACTGGTCTTGCAAGCACGTTGCTGCTGGCCTGAGCGTGGGGAAACGGCCGCTCCAGTTCTCCGCGGCCTCCGGGCCTGGGGAGCAGGGCTGCAACTTCCAGCGCCGCAGTAGCGATTCCCAGCTGGGGTGGCCTTTCCCAGTGCTGGTGGCTCAGCGTGATTTCTTTCCTGCTTTCCTTCAGCTGGGACAAACACCCCGGGCAGAGGGATTGAAAATTGGCTGTCAGGCTCAAAGGGGAGAGCTCAGGCTCGCCACCTGGCTGGTGGCTGACACAAATGGAGTATCCAGGGACCCACGTTGGTCACTGCTGTCACCAGCATCCCACATGACCCCTTGTCAAACCTGGGGGTGACGCTAAAGGCGAGGGGATTGACTCGCTGAGGGCTGTAGCAACACTGCATTTGGGGTGGCAGAAACTTGATGAGAGGCTCCTGGTTCTCCACCGGGCCGGAAAACCCCTGGGCAGAGTCCTGGGGGTGAGTGTGATGCCAGGCTCAGTGCCAGCCAGCGGTCGCACTGATGTTTAATATGGCAAACTGCACCCTGGCTGCGTTGGGTGAGGGGAGGTCTCCCCACGAGCAGGGACCTCTCGGGGATGCCCCGGGGCCGTTTCGCAGGGGCCGGCGTACATACGGCCTGGCTAGGACCAGCAGCTCTCTGCCTTTGGCTCTCTTTCCCGGATGTTTTGGCTCTGGGATCAGGCCACAGCACCTGGCATCCGGAGCGTTTCCTCCAGGACAGTCCAGGTCAGCTTGGCAGAGCTGCTGAGGAAAATCGGAGAGGCAATAGCCCCTGGCAGAGACGTGACCCATCCCGGCAGGCTCGGGGTCGCGTTCCTCCCCGAGGGCTGGCTGCTTCCTCACGTTTCTCTTGTCGACGTTTCTTGGGTGCATTGTTTTGCCCAGCAAACATCCCTCAGCCGGAGGGTGCAGGGGTGTCGTAAGCAGGCCAGTACGCTCACCGGATGGTGAGCATCCACGCTCACCAAGCAGAGCCGGTGCCGCATGGGCCGTGCCAGCACCCCGCTGCGCTCTGGTGACGTGGCATAGGCTCCTCCAAGGATGCATCCGGATCCAGCGCCTGGAAAAGCCTCTGGCCAAGCCCCACTGCAGTACGGAGATGCCCTGAGCCCATGCCTGCACTAATGGCAGGGGGAATTCTGTCATGGGCTTAGTTACTGTCATTATATTGGGAATTAGGACCCAGCCCAGGGACTCATTTAGTTTTTAAACTCTTTTATTGTTTCCTGCCCAGGGAGGATGGTGGGATCGGCTGCTGGGAGCACCTGCACGGGCAAATTCCTTTGACGGAAGGGCCAGGCCCTTGATCCCAGTGGCATCCCCGGGGTGCAGAGTCCTTTCCCACCCTGCTGTCCTGCTTGTGGTGGGAGCCCACCCCAGGCGTGGTGGGGCTGGGGGCTGCCAGGAGCGAACCATGCACTATCAGAGCCCCGGGCCTTTGCGCAGGGTGGTCTCGCTTCCAGCAGGATGCCGTGACCAACATCTGTGTGTCTGTCTGCAGGGAAGTCCCACCTGGCGATCGTGCAGAAGGTGAACAACGAGGGCGAGGGAGATCCCTTCTACGAGGTGCTGGGGCTGGTGACGCTGGAGGACGTCATCGAGGAGATCATCAAGTCGGAGATCCTGGACGAGTCGGATATGTACAGTAGGTTCTGGGCTTGGCCCGGCCCCTGTTGGGTGTTGTGGCCTGGGGCAAGGGGACCCGGGTCCTGCCTGCCCACCTCTGACACCCTGCTCCCTACAGCTGACAACCGCAACAGGAAGCGGGTGGGCAACCAGAAAAACAAGCGGGACTTCTCTGCCTTCAAGGACCCCGTCAACGAGCTCAAGGTGAAGATCTCCCCACAGCTGCTGCTGGCTGCTCACCGCTTCCTCTCTACGGGTGAGTTGAGGGGGGACACTCCCTATGGCTCGGGGTGCCTGTCGGCTCAGCCCTGCTCTGGAGCACCAGCACCGACGGCTCCGTGTCCCTGGCATGGCTTCACAGCTGGATGAGCTCCATTCCTTTCACCGCAATGAGGAAGAGTCACTTTGGCCATCCCGTTCCGAAATTAATACTTGTGCCTTGTCCGCAATCCTGCCCTTATCCTATCTGCTGCAACTTTTCCTCCCCAACTTGGCTGGGGAGGCCCTGCCTGGCGCTGCATCCCCACAGACTGGCTGGGTTCGTGGAGTTGCCACCCCTTGGGTGGCCTTGTCCTGTCACTAGAAATGAGAAGGGACAGGGCTCGGGGATACCAGCCCTGCCTCTGACACCTAGCAGCTGGGGCTGCCCATCCTGGGCTCTCTCCATCTGTTTGCGGAGCTGGTGGAGGCACCAAACTCATGGACTTCCAGCTCGGGGAGGTGTCTGTGGGACCCAACCTGATCTAGGGCATGTCCTCAAGGGACAAGGGTTCCAGCACATCCCCCGTCACCTTCCTCCAGTGCCCGTGGTACAGACAGCTGGAGTGAAGGGAGAGGGGTGAAGACTGGGTGGCTCTGACCCCCTTCCCCTCTCATTCTCAGAGGTGACGCTCT